TTTCTGTACGCCCTGAAAAAGATTCACTATTTCATATTCTTTATTCCTATTACATGTATTCATATTGATGCAAATTATATACTTCACTATACATGTACATGATATGTATAGTATGTTGACATGTACATAGACATGTACAGAAAAGGTGTTATTTCCGTTTTTCTTCCATTTGAAAATTTGAAAGTTTCACCTTTGATGTGCACCAGATCACTCCATTTTAGTACAAAAATTGCAAAAGCTCCCTGCTGGGCAAAAGCTCCCACACCCTCCCCCCGCTCGGTCGCTTCACTACCTCAATTGGGCCCCCATACTTTAAAAACGTGGCGCCGCCCCTGTATATATATATATATAGAGAGAGAGAGAGAGAGAGAGAGAGAGAAAGAGAGAAAGAGAGAAAGAGATCAAGAATCTGATCTCCAATACAGCGTCGGTAACTATTTCGATGGACGAAGCAGCAAAGGATCGACTAAAACTGGATCGCCAATAAAAGGTTATAGGTGATGCACGTAACCTAGCCTAACCGCGGTGTCGGTGTCCGTACGTACCAGATGCAGCATACAGCATAAATTATCTCTGTTCGCCTCTATTTCTGCCGCGTTTTCGGCTACGACAGCAGAGCACAGCACCGCCAGCGTCTATTTTTATAAGCGCCAGAAGCACTACCGACATGACCAATCACACATGCGTACATGATACAATCACGAGCTAATAATATTATTATTAGCTCTTGATACAATCAGTCCATTGCCGGCGAGATGAGGTGCGAGGGAAAATTTCACAGACGGATGAGAAATCAGGCGTCGAAATCAGATTAACTGTGAAATATGTTGTTTCTTCGCTGCAACATGCAGGGGAATGTTTCCAGTGTACTCGGCTTACGATAATATGACATTTTGTCACGAGTTTGTATTATCAGCATAAATGAGACGCAACCTGCACACACAAAAATCTTTCGAAACGTTTATCTAATCGGAATGTTTTATAGACTGGTGAGACTTTTTTATAGTCAGGTGACTTTATTCAAGAGAAAAATGGGGGCGGAGTATATTGGAAAATGCCATGCTTCTGGGGGCACACACAAGAATTATTTATTCAACCACCTACATTGCATGGGTACCACCTACTACATACCAGGCATTTTGTTTACAAAGGATATTATTCCTCGTTGAACATGTAGGATCTTATCACCCACATAAAAAAAACTAATAACAATGCCGAAAGAGGGGACAAATATATAATATCGAGAGCGTATAATATTTATATAATATGTAATATTTAACCCACAAACATGGAATTTGATTTATAAAAAAAAGAAGTCGGGACGTAGGACATTCGCCACAAGAATAGAATAACACCCTAATAAGATAGTGATCGCATATTCTTCCCGCTGACTACGTGGGTTAGGTCTTCGATGCGAAGGTCACTGAGACCGCTTAAGACTGCGTGGTTCTTGACCTTTTTTGAGCAATGGACTCCTTTGAGAATCTGGTGAGAGCTACGGACCCCTCCCCCAGAAAAACGCACACATGAGCACATAAACACAAATTGTTGCATACATGTGCCTGGTTCACGGACCCCCCTGAAGCCCATCCACGGACCCCAAAGCGGTCCATGGACCAGTTTGAGAACCCCTGGCTTGGGTCCTCTCTCCCTCACTGTGATCTCTCACCTTCTTCGAACAGGTCCTCCAGCAGACTGGGCCACTCCTCCCGGAAGACGTCCGCGCCGGTGAGGCTGCCGTCGCCGCCGATGACGACGAGGTCAGTGATGCCATGCTGCACGAGGTTGCACGTGGCCTTCATGCGACCCGAGCGCGACCGAAACGCCTCGCAGCGAGCACTGCCGATGACGGTGCCACCCTGCGAGAAACACACACACGCGACTATTATTATTATTATTATTTTATTTATTTTGCACCTTTTTTATATAACATGATCAAAAGCGCAGCACATCGATATCGACTAGACCTAACCGCATGCACTTGGAACGTTTCGATAGACTAGTGAAATGATGGTAAATAACCACGAAATGTATTAAGAGCATTATTCTCTTTAGGCCTAAAAAAAGAAGTTAGTTTTTTTTCTCGGCGACCGAGTCCATTTTAAACCGCAGTGTCAAAACCTTTTATTGTGATCGGCAAAAAAAATATTTAACAAAAAAAAGAAAATCCCAACGTGATATCGATCGGTGAATGCATTGATTTGACTTTGAAGTCATTATATGGGCTGTTATAAGTATAAAACAAGTATTGTTAGAATACAATAAAAAATAAAAAATATTTGATAAAACACGTACATGTATCACACAAGTACATCGCACACACACAGCTGTGCACAAACAACAAGAATATAGAGGAGTTGCATATATGGCATTAGGAATGTATGAGACTGGATCTCACGAGGGGAAATATGCGTTGATCGTGTAACTATACGAACATAGAGCATCAGGAATGTCACTGGGACAAAGTTAATTGGATCAATGCAAACATAGGGCAGTAGCAACACAAATGGCTGCGTAACGTAGAGCCATGCAAACACAGAGCAGCAGGAATGCACATGGTTATGTAACATAAATGGATACAAACATACAGCAGGAGGGATGTACATGGCTATGCAACAAAGGGGCACACAAACACTGTCGTAATATCTGTACAGGCCTAAGTGAAGTGGAGCCATACAAAAAATAGAGCGTGTAATAAATCACACTTCGCAAAAAATTGTCTGTTAAACTGATTACCACTTATAGCTCTCACTAAACTCCAGTGTTTCGAGCGAAAATAGAA